TCACGTAATTCTCAACGAGCTCAAACCCAAACATCAGGTATGCGTGGTACCCACATACGCCCGTGAAAGTTTTTTTCCAGTAATTTGCTAACTCAGGAGCCAGGAAAGCTAGAAAGCTGAGATTTTAAGGAGGTGTTTCCTGACATTCTGGCGGCCAGTCTTAATTTGTTTAGCTAGAAGCATTTGTAGCAAAAACTGGTGCCGGTAGCGACAAAAACTGCGGGGAACAATGCAAAAAACGCACCTTCGCAAGAGTAACCCGTGCGTGGCCAATTATTATACGTTTTTGTTGTGCAACGCTATAGCAGCTAGCGTTGCTACAGCGAGCAAAAACGCATATTGTCGAGAAGTCGCCTGTGCGTGTGTGTGTGTGTGTGTGTGTGTGTGTGTTCGGAAAGCGAGTGCATTTTGTCACCCACTTTCATCTCAGCAACCAGGAAACGTGTGTGTGTGTGTTCGCAAAGCGAGTGCATTTTGTCACCCACTTTCAACTCGACAACCAGGAAAGTGAAGGCTGAAATTTCGGGTATAAGTTCCTACCCCATGTGTCATCCTCCCCTTTTAAAATCTTCGCTCATACGCGCCTAGACCCCGCATACGGACCCCCGAAAAAAAATATGCAAATTTCTTTGGCGGAAAACGATTTCGCGAACCAGGCAAGTACAAAGCTGGAACTTTTCGGGGATATTCTCTGTGCATGTCGAGTTAAGTATTTCAAATTCAGCCGTCGCGGATGCTTGTGCAACGTGTACGACCATGTCAAAGTTTGCACTTGGCACTGTCCTAACTCGAAAACTAGCTGGAAAATAGTAGCTGAAATTTTGTCAGCGTATTTGTTGCGCATATGGGAAATCGTATACCTAAATTGAGTTTCAACCTGCATTTGTACCACGACTTAGGGCGCTTCAAAGATATTTGTAGCGAAGTGGAAATTTCGCTTGCCGGATAAGTTGCGAGGCTGGAAATTCGCTGAGATGCGGTCTTAATTCTGCTTGGAAGTGAAATTCCCTGCAGTTGAGCATGTGAAATACTCGACTTACCGAAAAATCAGGAACGAGTGCATTTTGCAGTGAACGACTGCCCTTTTCCTCTCCTAACATCCAGTTCATTTACATATTTGAATTTTTTGATGAGCCACC